CGGGCAGGAGGAGGCCTGCCTGATACCTGGGCTGCTTACACAGTGCTGCCTCGTGGGGCCGTGCCATCTGCTGGGGGCGGAGAGGCTCGGCCTGCTGGCCGCATGCCCTGACCTGGCCGGAGAAGGGTCTCTGGTCTCCGTGTCCTTGGCTGCCTTTGCGGCCCACGGTCACTAAGAAACCAAGGTTATTTTTCTTCCACTAGGCGTGCAATGGAACTGACAAACTTCTGTGTGTGGTGATGAATGACTTCCAAGCTGTGTTGTTTGTTCGGAGAACAAAGCTCTCTTCCCGCATGAGGGTGGGGGCCGGGGTCACTCTCCTTTCCCACCAGGCCAAGGGGCCAACGCTGGACACCCGGCTGGACCATCTTGGCAGCTGTCGCCCTTTACAACAGCATGGCTCGCTGGGGGGTGGGGGGTGGGGGAGGAGAGCTGTATACGACCCGGTTATCTGGACCCTGCCCTTAGTGGTGTGGTGTCTTGGGCAAGTTACTCAACTTCTGTAGGCCTCAGGTTCCTTGTCTTCTAAAGGGGTTCATCCTGTTGGCTCTGTCTGCTTTACAGGTGTGTTGTGAGGATTGGAGTGTTACACAGTTTAGTGAATGTCTCCCACTCAAATTGGTCTTGGAAGGAGGAGAGCCAGAATGCTTCTTAGAGGTAAGGATGGAGAGCCTTGTCTTAGGAGACAACAGTCCCTGGACAAGGGCATTAGGCTTGCTACAGTTGCGTGCCCGCCTCAAAAGAGGCAGGCCCTGCATGGCATGGGCGGCACCGTGGCTGCCACGATGGGTAACTGTGAAGGTAGCGTGTGGCTGGGTAGTGCTCTGTTCTGTTGTGCACGGGGTCACTGGGAGTCAGCCCTGGCTCGGCGGCAGCCAACACCAGCAACACGCCCGTCCTTCAGCCCAGCTCTCTGGCGATGGTGCCAGCAGGAGACACCACCGTGGAAGACATGCTGGGTTCATGTATCTTCTCAAAGATGGAGCAATGGCAGCTCTGTGATGGGCACAAAGGCAGGGTGTACATGATGTTCCAA